TCCATCTCGTGAATCAGTTTCCCCTCTCATTCCTGGTGTAATGGATATTTCTAGACCTCCAAGTGATCTACAGGGTACGTATACAATAATTTTCCAAGCTGTGCCTATGTTCAGTTCAGAGTACGAATGATACAATAGGAGTAATTTAGGAGTATCAAATGAACTGCTGTATTTCCAATTTTAAACATCAGGTTATTGTAAATGATAATGAGCAAGCTTTCGTGAGGTTTGTTACTTCCCTATGCTATGCCTACAACTGTGATTCTCTTGGTCTACGTATATATTTGCCAGCATAAAAGTCGCTGTATTAACCGAAGATGGCTGTCTTCTGAGTTGTAGCATTGTGTAGTCTGGTAGAAGTTTACTGACGTTTCAGAGATGCTTGCTGCCTCCATCAGGGCGATGAGGGCAGGATCAGGGCAATTGAGGCAGCAAGTACCTCTGAAATGTCAGTAAACTTCTAAAAGACTTCTTTATTATGCTGTATCCTTTACAGGAGGTTGGTAACATATTATGAACAGGATCCTTCCATCCTTTTCTCGGACTGGGACCTGTTCATATATGTTTTTTAGGTAGGTGATACAGAAGTGGTTTGCCATTGCCTTCTTCTGTGTGTATGGAGTAATTGTCGGGATGCCACGGAGAAACCGGGGATGCACCAGAGGAAAACTCCGTGTTGCCTAGACCACGGCCTTGCCCAACACAAGTTATAAATTTGGGCACCGCCGGGAATTGAACCCAGAAGAGAGCCATCATCATACTCACTGCTGTGAGATCCTCAAATCTTACCTTGTTAATTGTTCTGTTGAAACTTGACATTTTCTCTTTATAAAAAATGACTACAGTAATGGCAAAACACAAGATTGATGAGTAGCCTGTGAGAATTGCCTCATTAACATCTGAAACCATGACACAAATTTATTAGATTTAACATATACTTAGTGTGTTTTCTTGCCACTCCCTAAAATGTTTTATGTATATAGGTGGCAGCAGGGGGTCTTCTCCTGACCAAGAGACTGGCAAACTGGGGACTTCACCGCACATTAACAAGTTCCTTGCCAGGGAGCCACCTGATGGATGTGAAAAGGTTAATTTAAAGTTTGTGGAGGACACCAGGTAATTCTAATTATTGGATGGTGTTCGCATAATTTTAAGCAGTGGTCTTTCTGTTTGAGGTCAGTAAGTTTCTTTACATATTCTGAAGGTATGTTTTGGATTTCAGGAGACCAATGATAGACTTGAGCAAATTGGACTACTGCCCTTTGAAGCCTTGTGTGGCATTTCAGTTAAAACCAAGTCTTGGGTCAGCATTCCTCCCACTTCAGCAAACAACCCGGATGATGATGGACGAAGCCAGTGGGACGACTAATGGAGGGGTGAGTTGCACCTCTGCAGCTGTTGACACTCCCAGTAGTAATAATGTACAACTGATACCACCGTTAGTGCCACAACTTCAGGGAACGGGCGTCAACAATTCTGCCACCCACACACCCACCCACTGCAGCACTGACCACAATAATGACCATGCAGGGATATAATAGTAATCATTTATAACCAATTATCATAAAGTACTGTTCTATTGCTGGATGTGTCTTTCCTATTCTAGCTTCGTTCGCTTCTTGATATGAAATTATGTCTTAGTGTGTTACAAAGGCAACATAGTTTCCCTTTTAAAATTGTTTTTACTGTTCAAATGAAATGCACCAAGACCACCTTAGCAATCTGATTTTGCACAGTTCACGTGGTATTCTGTAGACTTCCGTACCTTCACCTCCGTGTCACTTTTCATAATGTGTAATACTAGATCTGATGGCCGTGTTCGTAGAAATTAGCACATACTGGAGAAATAACAGAAAAGTGTGAGAACACGAAAGCTAGAATGTAAAGAGACTTTCAGCAGTTATAAATACTAAATTGTTTATTTCATTTCTGATTACAGAATTGACAAAACAGTAGTCCAGATGCATTCATGTTTACAGATAACGTCATTGTGCTTAACCCTCACATGACACAAGCTGATTATTCTCATTTCCAGACACAGTATGCTCTGTGAATGTTGCGAAACGCGCTGCATAACATTACAGTTCTTCTTCCTCTCAAACTTGTTTTGTGTCAGCTTTGTTTCAGTATGTTTTAAGTGTATTATCCTTAACAGTTTACATATTGAATGTCATATTAATGCATTTGTTGTAGACAGTGAAAGTTATTCTTCTTTGTACATCGGTGATAAAAAAGACTTACGGGATAATTTGGCATTAGATGCCATATAATATAAAATGGTAACTCAGCCATAAATTCAAAGCCAAAACAGAATATATATAAAATATATTTTATTTAGTATTGATTATTTTATTTACTAACAAGTTTGCTAGATTTTCCTGAGGTCAGCAACCAGTATTGTAATAAATAGGATTAATTTACTGGTGGATTTCTTGTGCTGCCAGGTTCCAGATTCTCCTGTTTCCCTTAATTTTATATTCCAGTAATACACAGGTCTTTTCCTTCCTGTTTTGTGACCACTATTGGTGCAGCTAGGTGAGGGGTGTTTTTTAAGGAGAGCCTAGCTGTTGGCTGAGCTGGGATATTATAAGCAAAGTATTTTACAAAATATAAAGTACAGCAGACTCCTGATCGTCAGTGGCAGATTAACTTGGTTGCAGATTTACTGGAGTCTGCCTAGTTTAAACTGAATTAAAAAAAATTAATTTAGGAAATCTGTTGTAAAAGTTAGAACTTTTAAAAAGAAAATAATAAAGTGATTTTATTTAACATATTAACATAAATCAGTTGTTAAAACCTGAATTTTATGACAGAACATTATTGCTATTTGTTGAAATCCTTTTTGATGGTTGGTATGTTCTGTATTAAATTTTATATAAAATCCTTTCTGTTATTAGTAAATCTTTAAAAATGCAAGTAGTGTATATCTGTAAATAAACTTACGTATCTGTTACATTAGCTTGTTTTGCTTTTATTTTTGTGGATTATCTGAGGTTCTGATTATCCAGGAAAATATATGTTCCAATCAATGTAGATAATCAGGAGTCTACTGTATACTGAATGGTTTAGAAGCATATAATATATAAATAGTGATGACTGGAAAGGGAGGCGACAAGGAGCTGGGTTATGAGTTAGCAGTCATTACTTGAAATTGAAAGTAAAAATAACCAGTATGGTAATTGCTTAATAGAATAAGTTTATGTGTTAATTTGTTATTGCTAGTGTTTTAACAGCAGTTAGGATTTAACTTCAAATGGAGGGTAACTCTGTAACTGGTCAAAAGGCGTGGAGTGAAGTTTAGGAATTGTACGCAGTCATTTCAGGTCGAGGAAAATGCAGTTTGCAGCACATATTTTGGTACCTGAACAAAGAACAGACTCTGAATATTTCACTTTCTATTTCTTGTATGATACTGGTAACTCAATTTCCCAGATACACAATCCTCAACATTTGCCACATGTTTTTGTGTAGCTCAGTTTTCTTTATTTACCTGTAACAGAATCAGGATGGAAATGGATCAAGTACAAAAGTTCTTATAAGGCTGATTGTTTGCATTTGTATGGCAGTACAGTACATGTGTAAAGTAAATGATTACTGAACCCAAGAATATGGATTCTTTTAGAACCTGAAGATGCTGTCAGGGTGTTTGTTAATATGTATTTTATCATCCATAGACCATGGTTGGTGTGTTTGTTGTGATTGCCATTTGCTCCCCCCCCCCCCAAATGTTGTATGTAAACAAAGAGAAAGGCTGTAAATTCAGTACTTTGTGGCTTTTCTGTTTTTAGGTTGGAAATGAAATTTTGAGAACTGTTCTCAAGCTTGGATATTTGGGTACAGTATCGAAACACTCTTGTCTGATTTCATGAGCTGTGAGTTGCAAGAAAATTGTTTAGACCTCATTATTCATGATTTATGTGTAGTGTGGATAAGCCACTTAGTCATGTCTTGCAATAGGTAAAGTATGAAATTCTATTTGCAGTTATTTCTGTTTGTAGCCTGTATCTTAAACTTGCAACTTGCATTCTTCACTTTTATAGAAAAGAATGTTTTTTTATTCACAGATTCTTCATATGGCTCTTGCCTGTAATGAAAATCATAAAGCCAGTAAAATTACCTGTCAGTACAAAACCGTTTGTTTCTTGTAGGAAATAAGATGTATAGAGTGGCAAATGGCCGTGATCATATATAGCCATTTTTATAAGGAAAAATTTAAAATAACGGGACAAAGCTTTGGAAATGTATATGGCACTTCAAATGTAGTTGGTTTGGAAATTAACTCACACCTCATGGGTTTAAGACTCAATAAGGGGGATTTCCCTATCATAATAACAATAGCCTTTGTGTTTCATAGGCGTTTTACATGAGTACATTAAAGAACAGTATAATTCCTCTTGACTCGGACTCAGCTCTTAACTGCCCTTGCTTCTTCGTTGGAATAACATGATTTTTTAATCATCTGGGAAGGCATTTATCAGTTATTGTTCATAGTAAATACTGAAGTAAAAAATTACTCCAAGCCTTAAGTTATTTCTTCTTTGGAAATAAAACATTAGTCATTGCTGTTGAAATTTTGCAGCTCTGTTAATTATAATGCTTGAAGTTGTCAACTAAACAATAAGAAACTTAAAAGTAGTGGGCCCTCACAAAGAATATAGTTTCCCTTTTCCGTCCCTTATCCGATCAATTATATAAATGTAAATTTAAAAAATGTACAAGAAAGAGAAAAAGGAATCCCTTGATAACACTTAGAGCAAGCGTAAAACAAAAATCCTTTGATTTTTACTCTTAATCTTTGCAGGATTTAACTTTATGTTAATAAAGGAAAGTACTACATTGTAAAATGTTATTTTGTAGGAAGGGTCTGAAAGGTGAACAAAAATGAAAAGAAAGACAGCTTCAGCAATGAACAACTGTAGGAGAGCAGTAATATATGCCATGCTTTGGGGTTCAGATTCATAATTCAACATACTCTTATACCTGTTCAAAAATCATGAGAACCAACATGCAGAGTTAACAAAATTTGGTATAATCAAAATTTAAATGTGTTAAAATAGCATGAGCTTACTGTCACCAACAGATATTTATCCTTGTTTTTCCTTATTTTGTTTCATATATTGTTTTTATAACATTTAATGAATTTTTCAAGTGGAAGAAAACATTGAAAAACACATGGAGCATAAAGTGTAAAATGTGAAATTATAAAACAGGTATGCAGAAACATGATACAGCATTTAAATTTTATGTGCCTGTGTTTCAGTGCATTTGTCAAATATGAAGTAACATTTATTGGCCAAGCTCATTTATATGAAGACTGTTAGGCTTTCTATTTTCATGTTTGTTATAAATTGTCATCTTCATCTTCTTCTATGGCTCTCCGGTCCGTATTTGGTCCATGGCCTCCTCAATTCTCCTCTTCCATTCGGTCCTCTGTTAGGTCCGTCTGTCCGAGGCTTTGATCGAGGTTTCAAAACATCTTCCTTCTTACGGTGCGAGGTTGTTAGCCTTGCGACCAACCCCCAACTTGGAGGACCAGGGTACCTGTCTCCCCCTTGACCAATCTGGCTAGGGAGACCCTACCAGTAGCTATGCGACCGCCAGCATTGCTCTTGGGGTCACTGAGGTACTCGAACCCTACCACCACGACAAGGTGCAAAGTTGTCATCTTAGTGAAGACATTTGTTGATATTCCTGGCCATATACCATACTTCTTGTAATATGATATTATATTTGAGAAGTAAAATTGCTTTTACTACTATTATAGGATGTGTGATAGCAACAGATAGTAGGTTGATGAAAGTAGTAACATATATCAGGAGATTCATTGTGAAGGTTTGAAATTTAATGTGTGGTGTTCAGGTACATGATGAATCTGTGGCTGTAATGGTCACTGGATTATAGGTTTATATGTACTGTTTTCCCAGTTTGTTCATTGCATGAAGGTGAAAGGAGGAGGACAGCATTAATTTCTTGATACCTTGTGATCAGTTCAGTTTGGTTCTCTTGAGACGTGAATGAGAAAACACGAATGCATGACACCTGCAATCATACATTCCAATGACTTTCATTATGCAACTGCAAATCCTGAAGGTGTTTTAAAACCTTATTTATTTTGATCATTTTATATGAATTAATTCCCTCTTTTGCCACTGATGATGACCTCTTGAGGTCTAAACGTGTTTGGCACTAGTGTCATTTATAGTGTTAACAGTTTGTTTGCTTATTTTTATATTCTAATACACTACACGGTATGCAAAGTTTTAAGATAATTGGAATGTTGACTGTAGCTGTTATGCTGCGTAGTTTTCTGGCTTAGTGGTTTATATTTGCCAAGTATGATCTTGGTATTTAAGGAAAGGTAAAAATGTCACAAGCTTCTTGAATTGATGCCATCAGTTGTAATGTACTCAGGTAAATGTGTTCTTATCAACACAAAATATTACTTGTACTAGTTATTTGAAGGAAGTTTCACCATCCATATCTGCCACTTAACAATCAGATTATCATCCAGTTCAAATGAGTGGTAATTGAAATATGAACTGGTTTTTAAAAATGTATGTTTGCTTAAATATGCTCTGAAATACTGTTTTATCCCCAAAGCTCAAATTAGAGGAAATTTTTAGAGAGCTGCTGTGTTCAAAAAGTGATTGTTATACCTCATATTGAGACTGGATCATAATCAAAAAGAAATGACTGATTTACATATGGAAACAGATGGTTCGTGCTGATACTCATTTTTACATACTCTGATGAAAAATATATTCAATAATCAAGGCTTATGCTGCAGAAGAACTATTACAAGGTGCAATAGCAGTCTGAGTACATTTGAATATTTGAATGCAGGTGTTTAGGTGGAGATAAAAATGTGTAAATACTAGGAAGAAGATGATCTCTCAACATATTAACAAGTGTATGTGCATGTGTACATCATATGGTGTGTGTGTGTGTGTGTATGAAAGAAAGAAAGAGCATCGTGGTGTCACAGATAAAGTCAAATAAGAAATGGTGTAGCACTAGAAGTTATTCTTGGTATTATATTAGTAGACATTAAAAAAGCACTGACAAAGAAGTTTGACAGATGAAACAAAAATATGAATAGGGCAATGAATAAATCAATTTTTTTGTGGTATAAATTAATATTTGAAAATCTTAACAAAGAGTGAATGACAATATATCAATCAATATTACTAATTTTGTTATGTTGTGGACAAGCCACTTACAATAAGAGAGAATTGAGCTGACCCCTGCGTAATGGCATTTTATGCTTGTTCAGCTTTCATTTTTATTACATGGGGTTATTTTAAGTGAGGATTAGTTCACAACTCTGTGCTATATAATTTTTTGTATCCCTGTACAAATAAACAAAAAAAAATATTGGAACAAGTCTCTTGCAATTTACTTAACCTATTTTGAAGGGTTATTATCCCACTCCAGTGTGCCTTATTAATTACTGAAATTTGCAAAATATAAAGTAAATTGATAATCATATTTTGTTTTGTTTTCCAAGGTTTGATCAACATGAGTCTGCCACATGGTATAAAAGTATTTCAGGAAATACATTTTTTTAATGTGAGTGCACCGCATATGTTCATTTATCATAAAAGTGTTAATATTAATCCTCATTAATATGTATATCAAGTGCTGGAAACTGTACTGTCACATATAAATATTGTATCTGCACAAAAGTAGACTCTTTTGTAACCATTATCTGTCATTATTTACCATGCTCGGATATCTTTGTGCAGATTATGGCAGTTTCAAGGTATAAGTATTTTACTGTCCTCTTCCTAATAATTCACCCATTACATAGGCCAAAGGGCCCCCACCACTTTTGTTACAGATCTTACTGGGTTAGGAATTACTACGAAATCGACGTTGTATTTTTGTTCAATTAGCCTGCTTATTAGGAGTGCCATTGATTTGTGTTACGGGCTGGAGATCAAGTTTCTGGTTCTCAGAAGAACCGCCATGAGGCGCTGCAGTCGGTCTCCCGCAAGCCAGACGCTTGTGTGCTGTCAGTCGTTTCTCCTGTGTGGTAGTAGGCGGGGTGGGCTTCTGGTAACGTGTACGGTGTTAAGGATATGAACGATTTTAGGAAATCTTATATTCCTTGAAAGAACAGTTCTTGATATCTTCCAATTCTTTTTATTAGAGTATTTGATTTACTTGCGTTATCAGCCATTTTGTGTTTATTAACATGCAATAATTCTGTGAAGTGCAACCAACACATTACCAAGAGGGGTTTGTCGGAAGTGTTTTGTGTTTGTGGTGTGCTATATTATATTGGGGCGAATTTTATTGCAGTTTTTTATGGTGTTTTTTAATCGAAGGGCTATGTGAACCTGATGAACAGATAAAAGTTCCGGTTGAATGAAACTGTGGGAAGGAGCGGATGAAGAATAGCTGTAAAGTCTCTTGCAAAATAGGTGAGTAAAGAAAGATCTAGGAGTATAAGTTGTGTCACGAAGAGAGAGTACTTTGCCTTGTGACGGGGGACTTTTGATTCCGGTCAGTTCGAATGTATTGCGACCATACTATAGTCAAGAAACTTGTTTTCCTTTCAAAGCAGTAAAATAATCGCGTAGCAGCGTGGATCAATGAAGGGGCCTTGGATACTGTGCGTGAGTGTGGGTTGATTTTTTAGGGCTTTGTTCGCTAGGATGCACTTAAGACATGGCAGTTTCTTGTTTTTGTGTCTCTCAGAACCAGTTTCGTTCAGATATAGACGAGCAGTACTTTCTTGTCTGTGCGTTGAAAACTGGTGCAAGACGACCTCTTAAATCCAAAATTATTCAGTAAGATAGATCACACTTTTGAAATGTTCTTGAAGTTAAAAAAAAAATCAAATGTTTTAATGTTATCGTAATAAGTGAGGCGTTTATTAACCCATTCATGCAAGTACGGAACTGCTAATCATTCCATTTTCGTTGTCAAGAACAACATATCTTCAGGGAAATGTTACTTACGATGTTAGATTTGATGTGCAAGATATAGCACTTCATGAAATTCGTATTTAATCATCCGTGTATCGGTTATTAACGTCGGCAACTAGTAGTTTTCGTAAAGTGGCTGTTTTTGATCAGGCGTGGCTGAAGAGAATCGCGATAGAAACACGTGTAGTCGACTTCGGCGTTCGAGGTGCGTGTCAGACATTCTATGAAGGAAAAAGAAAACGGCGAATAAGTTTGTACTGTACCTAATGATATTGTGTCGTACATCATTTAAAATTACCGTCAGCACTGACTGAGATTTTGAAATTTCACCGCATTTGTTTGCAGACCGTTCTGCTTGGATAAAAATGCGTCATTGGTTGTAATTATTGTGAAGTGATTGTCAGTCTGTGGAAAGATGGACTTGATTTGATTGAACTTAGCACGTGGAACAGTACAAACAAGCATTGGTTGTTAATAGGATGTGTTAGTGCTTGGACAGTTTATCTCACAGACTTGGCTAGTCTGTTAATGATACACTCCTGAATTTAAACGGAAATCGGCTTTAGAAGTTTACAGCTAAGTGCTATTGACCTTACAACGTGAATTCGTTCCTTCGTTTACGGTCAGTTAAATCCACCCATTTTCATTCAGAAGATCACATAATTTCTTTTTGAGACTGACTTATCTGTTACAGTTTGTAAGTTGTGGTATAACATTAGTAATTTTAAGGCTACACAGTTCGGCCCTTTTTGCTGTGTATAAATGTTTTTAGCGTTTACGAATTTGTAAAATTACTTGAATCTGTGCAGTATTTACTGATTTAAAAATTCTGCTTCTATTAAATTGTGAAAAAAAATAAATTATACCGATTTTAAACTGACGCTGTTAAACAGTTACAGTAAAAACCCAAAACCCGTTACTACCAGTTCTTGCTAGTAAAACAGCATAGTGCGAGAATAATTTTGTAACGAGTCTGTGGTTAAGAATCGACGTAAATTTTATTACAGTGCCATAAAAAAAGACCTTTCCAGAGATGTTGCGTTATATTCGTAACCGACTTCGTTAATTACTTATAACTCACCCCCCCCCCTTCTGTTTCTATTAAAGTTATCGAAAACCTGATAATAATGCATTTGTACGGGAAGCTTGTATCGAGAATATTAGTTCGGCTGTAACTTATATTTGTTTGATAGCTGTGCGGTGGTGGCACTCTTGCTTCTTACTCGAATAGTCGTGGGTTCGAATGTCATCCTTGCAGACATCTCCCCCCCCCCCCCCCCCCAATCATTATCTTTGTCGTCATCTAGCAGTTAAAGGAGGTAAGCCACTTGTTGAGCTTTTTCTTGTCCAGGGTCACCTTAAAGGTCGTTTTCGAAACGATGTCCTGGCTTAGTGTTTGTGTGTACAACACAGAAATGAAGACAAGACCGAGGCACAGGCACTTTTTACATCAGTAAAGTGCTTCGTCTTGCGTAAGTACGTTTATAAAGAATGAACATGGCACTACTGATAGTTGAAATATCTTATTGAAGGAGTGACTCCATCATAATTCAATAGTGCGTCTTACAATAAACACAAATGGATTTGTTTAATGAACCACGGTAGGCCTGTAGTGCTATCATAATTATGCCTGACTTTCAGTACATAATACGATGTTTTTAATACAAGCTTAGCTCCGTGTAGTCCTTGAGTGGTCAGATTCGCGCTCCGGTAGCATCACCCCTGGGCAGAGTGCCCCCGTACCCATTGATTAGGAGGTTGGGTTCGACCCGGAGCCAGTCTGGATGCAGTGACGGAACAGTATTTGTCCCTGCCGTAAGTCGAACTCCGTTCCGTAGATAGTGACTGTACTGAGTGAGTTATTTCAGATCTGTTTTTGATGATTAACAGGCCTAATCGAATTGTCAGTTTCTGTTCACTATAATAGCCAAGCTTTGGCTTTCTTGAACCATGCACGTGGATCACATGACGTTTGACGTCAAAGTGCTGATAACAGCGAGTCTCCACTACACGATAATACATTTCTGTTCAACGTAATGTAAAATTATAAAATTGGATCATTATTTTTGCTTTTCAGTCACTGTAGTTAAAAGTAATAACTGAAGATAAGTGTAAATAACGATGCACATGAATGGAAAGAATATTTTATTTTCTTAAAAAAGCGATAAAACGTCATAGCTTGACAAAGGAGATGAATCGAATAATAATGTTTATTTTCTGCTCCAAATGATCTCTCCAGCAAAGTTTGGCCGTAGGACTTTTGAATCACTTTGTATATGTACTGCCATTCAGTTACATTCCGATGTGAACACGTTCTGGTCGGTGCACCCGCTGATGGTGCACAGCTGGTGATCTACACCTCGCAGGCGAAAATTCAGCCGTTCTTAGAAACAAGTCTCCTTGTCTAATAATTCTGAGAAGTGCATTGTTACAGGAGGAATGTAGTTTTTAAATACGAATTGGAGTGGCTGTGTGTTAGGTTATTTTATGTTTTCGCCCTCCGGTAGTATATAAATTCATTCCATACTCTCATATCCATTTGTTTTAATGTTTTTTTTTTTTTCAATTTCCGCCTCAGCTTTCAACGTGGTTTTGAAATGAAAATTTTGTGTGCGATTCTCATCTGTTTTATCATATCAATGAACTGTAGGCTTGCAAATAACGAAGCTCCGTGTTACGAAATTTTCTCCAGACTCTTGTTACTTCTCATTTATAAGTCCAAATATTCTCCTGTATCTTAATTATTTTTTTAGTGTTCTGTCTGACGACAGGTCCATATGAACAGGATCCTTCCATCCTTTTCTCGGACTGGGACCTGTTCATATACGTTCTTGGCAGATGATCCAGAAGTGGTTTGCCATTGCCTTCTTCTGTGTGTGAATGGAGTAATTGTTGGGATGCCACGGAGAAACCGGGGAAGCCCCCGGAGGAAAACTCCGTGTTGCCTAGACCCACGGCCTTGCCCAACACAAGTTATAAATTCGGGCACCGCCGGGAATCGAACCCGAGACCCCAGGATTACAAGGCCAGCGTTCTAACCGCTAGACCACCGTGGCTATATCTTAATTATAGGAGAACATAATTTGTGTCTGTGTGCAATGTAATAGTTCCGTTGCTTAGAATTGTCAAGTGGAATTTGTCCCGATGAAAATCTTGACCAGTGATAGTTCGAGTGTCCAAAGAACGCATTTTAAAAGCGTAGATGTTCACTTGGCCAATGAATTGCAGAGACAGCAAAGGCGAGTGAGATGTTTAATGACTAACGTTAAGTATCAGATCAGTTGTTTTGGACCTGAAGTACTTTTACACACAGGGAGTACGTGAAGTGAAACTTCATCGATGGATCTGAGATGAAAAGGCCGCGTGCCATTTAATATCCATATTGAGTTGATTCGAATTGCAATGAGTCTCTGTGTTATGTAAATGGCTGACGGTTTCCTGTGACATAATTTTTATCTTGTTTAGAACTTCATAAAGACGAGATGTCATTTAAAAAGAGAGGTCAAATATCAAAATGGGTGTCAAAGTGATTTCACGTGTTGACTAATGCATAGGTCAGAGAACGGAAACGTTTTCCATGAATTGATTTTTGCTGTCCGTCCTGCGAAATAATACAGTAGACGAAATTGTGGGTTTTTGGATTTAGAATGTTTGCAGTGTGGTGGTAGGCAGGCGGAATCTGATATACCATGTTCCACAGGTCAGATCCATGGAAATATTGGGCCATAATGGATCACAGTCACAAAATTGGAAACATAAAATAACGAGACACATCCATGGAAATAGGTCAGATGAAAGGTAACATAAATTATGTATCATATCCATGATGACAAAAAAATAACGGCTTACATCCAGGAAAGCATACCCTGAAGATGGTAGATGAAGTTTTCACCGAAATGTTGGGTAGCGTCATATTACCGAAAGTCGAAGTATTACGTAACAGAACCAGTGTTTGTTGATTTAAGCTTTTTTACGGTGAAGTTCCTCAAGTGATGTGTGATCTTATTTCTTGATACATTTTCGATTGATTAAAACTATATTTTTCTTCGATGTTACACAGACTCCGTTTCATACTGCTTGAAGTTTGCGACAACTGGCGGTAACACGAGCGTCTTTTGTTTTGTTGTTATTATTGATTACGTCAGAGATACCAGATGCATCATGTGCCCCTCCCTGTCTGGTTTTATGCAGCACAGCGTGACTCATCAGGTAATGTGGCCATCTTCTTGGTGTGCGGATAGACCGTCAATGAATTACGTAAGACCTCGTCAGTACCTCCTATCCCACACCTTGGTTTTCTGGATAGTGACTGGCTTCGGGCTGGACGACCGGGGTTCGGTCCCCGACGGGGTTGGAGGATTTTTACTCTGACCTCTGTGTCCAGACTGACTGTGGGGCCCACCCAGCCTCGTATCCAGTGGGCACCCCCATCTAGTGCCTAACAAATAGCAACAGAAGATCAACTCGTTCGTCTTGTTTCTATTGACGTCACC